ACACTCTTAGTCTTCATCTCTTGTGACATCCCAAATCTAAGGTTGTTGGTGAGTACCTTAACAAATATATAGACTCTCTCCGTCTCAGTAGAAACCAAAGGATCTGTATAGTAGGATAACTATGTAAACCTCATAGCATACTAAGTCACAGCCATATCCTCCTAGCGCAAATGCTCAAGCTCGCTGTATAACTCATCCCTGCGGGTCTATGGGAAAAACTCCCCCAAGAATGGATCTAAGAACTACGACAATATTATTGGTGTTGTCCCCCCTCACCTGCTTGCCTCAAAAGTCTACCACCATCTGTATGTCGACCCCGTCAACTGAAAAGTAGTAAAGTCGACCCTGTTCAACTTCACCAAACCTAAATTATGCAACCTCCGATACTATTCATCCAAGAAATCCTATGCATCCTCAGAAGTCCCTCCGCTGAACTGTGCAGGATACGAAACCTCTCCAACCTCTTTCGCTCCTTAGCTGACATGACTAGCCCTACCTCAGGTTGTGCAACTGCTTGTTGCACTGGTAGAATACCCGGTGTCTAGTAAACATGGGCCCTCTACACTAGTGGGTGGGTGATTGGAGTCTTGGTTCTTCCCCCAAGACTCAAACATACCCATGAAGTGAGCGAGAGTCTCCTGAAGTCCTGGTGTAGCGATAGGCCCCTCCGGTGAAGGCTCAACATGTATGGGCTCCTGCACCTCAACTGTAGCTACTGGTGGCTCTATAGTTTCTGCTTTAGTAGGGGCTCTAGTTGCAGTGCATGCCCTACCTCGGCCTCTACCTCTGTCCTGGCCTCTCGCAGCTCTAACAAGGGGCACAAGCTCAGCTGATCCTGCGGAATGTGTCCTTACTATCTGTGATAAAATATGAGAGTAAATGTTCAAACTTTGGAATAAACAAATCCGCACAATGAAGAATGAAAGAAAATGATGTTTCTAAATGGCCCGGGAGCCTCTCGAAGATAAGTACAGATGTTTTCGTACTAATCAACAAGACTCTATGAAACTTGCTCATGACTTGTAGAACCTATGAAACTAGAGCTCTGATACTAATTTTTCACGACCCAAAATCCTTCTAAAGGTCATGATAAAACCTACAACTCATACTAGGTAAGCCAATCATATAATAATAAAAACAATGAAATGAGAAATAACGAGTTTGAAACTATCATAAACAGTGGAATAGAGCTTCAACAAAACCACCATATTGCGCTATGTGGTATTGATTGTTGACTTAGATCTGGTCAGCGCTTGGGCAAGGATCCGCCCCTTCGGAGTCAGGTATTAACTGTGGGCACAGGCACAGGCACATGGTCATATATGTACTTGGGTGAGGGACTTGGGTTTGGAACCCATAAAGTTCTGAGTTTTGTTGTTTTCGAGTGTGAGGGTCCAATGGAAATTGTGCCATGCACTATGCATGTGCTGAGATATGACAAAATTGATGTTTTCACTGCGATATTGCTGATTCTAGCACGCATACTTGTCATGCAGGTACCGGGATGTATCCCTTCTCTCATTCTTATTAGTACTTGATGTCCTTATTTAAATGTTGGATTTGGAACCATGTTTAGATGACTTATGTGGAAGAATTTATGCCTAAATTGCAATTCTTAAAAATCATGCCTATGTTCCTTTTGTTAGTGAAAAGGTTGAATTTAATATTTCTTGAGCTACTTGTATTTACCATTATTATTCTGTTATTATTGTAATTGGTTATTCTAAATGAATATTGGACCTTGACGAGCTCTCCACTAATTTTAGCCAAGGTTAGGCTTGTTAGTTATTGAGTGTATGGTCGGTTATACTCATACTACATCTGCACTTTATGTGCATATCTAGGTACTGCAAGAGAGGTGATCGCTGGTGAGTCACACCAGTACAAGTTTCTTGGAGATTTCGAGGTAGCTGGTGATTCCATTCTCAGGCCTTGAAGTCCCTTCTCCCTTTGTTTATGCTATTACTGTTCTATCTTTCAAATTGTTATGTATTTTGGATTAGACTCTGTATCTATAATTTTTGTAGTGCTTATGTACTCAGTGACACCAGATCATGGGATGGTCTTAGTTTTATTGTTGCTATAGGCTTCCGTTATTTACTATTATTCAGCTATTGAGATTAATTAATTCAGTTATTTATGTTTGTTCCTGCTCGTTAAAATGTTGGCTTGACTAGCAAGTAGCGTTAGGAGCCGTCACGACTTTGGTGTGATTTGGGACCGTGACAGTTATAACCATTCATCTATTGATAATGTAACAAGCATTGGTCACAACTTCAACCCAAAAGGTCTCAGGAAGTCCACTTGCAGTTATTATGGTGTTTGCCATATATTCTAGAGTCCTATTTTTCCTTTTCACAACACTATTCTGTTGTGGAGTCCTAGGAGAAGAAAAGTTGTGATCCACACTATTACTGTCATAGGCGGCTTTTAAGCCATGCCCCATCACCCCTTGGATCCGCCCCATGGTGTCCTAGCAAGCCTCCCAACGCCTAGCGCCATGGACGACCCCATGGTCTAGGTTGCGCCAAGTGACAAGCGCACATGTGCCTCTATCGCCCTATCGATTGCCCTCGCCAGCACCCAGCCACTAGCAGATGCCAATAGTGTCGCATGCACAGACAGCACCACGTGCGCAGACCATGATGCCAAAGATAAGGTTGCTGGCAACGGACCTATTTCTACCATGTAGAAAACTAAGTCCTTCTCATTGTAAATATAGAATAGTTTTATTTCATGTACTTCCATTAAGTTCCTCTAGCTTAGTTAGGTCAAGTCCAATAACTTTGGTTTATTTTATTTAAGCACTATTAGGGGGGATCAAGCAATCAAACATTTTAGCAAGTAAACAATTCTTTATACTGGTGTCTCTCCCCCTCGACGCCGTGTTGCTTTTCTGTAATAGCTTTCATTAATGTAACCAAGCTTTCTTTCATTATCAATTCTCATTTCTGTTTTCTCAATTGCTCTTGACATTGGTTTTCATGTACGGCACTGAAAATCTCGTCTAGTGTACGGAGGGGACCTCAGTTGGCGGATAGTAACTGCACTGACATCAGCTGATTAGCCTTACATCGCCCTTCTATGGAATCTTAGGAAAGTGTCGTGTAACAGTTGGCATCAGAGCCTAGACTCGACATCGGATGAGGGAACATATTGCAATTTCCACCATTTCTGGCCATGAGGAATCATGGGGACCGCATTGCAGCCCTTGAAGAGACTGCTGATGTATTACGGCCAATCATGGATACGGTGCCTGGACTAAGAACCAGCCTAGTGCAAAGGTTGGATGACCTAGACCGCAGAATGCTCCAAGCTGAAGTTGACATAGAAAACATCAGTCGCGACTCTGAAGAAGACCGACAAATGGCAGCCACAGAGGCAGCCAAAATTTTTGGTAAATTCGAGGGCCTCTAGCAGGAGCTTGCTGAGGATTTAGCCTACAGGGCACAAAAGGCAGACAGGGTTACCGCCATGCAACAAACTATAGACAACTTGATAGGCCAGCTAAATATTGTAAATGCTGCCTTACAAGGCCTGCTCCGAGGAGGCGAAAACCAAATCGGGGGTGCTGTGAACCTCTCCCCCGTGGCGCAAAAATTTAAAATTCCTGAGCCAAAGTCATAAAGTGGAGCTCAGAATGCCAAAGATGTGGAAATTTTCATCTTCGACATAGAACAATACTTCGATGTCGTGGGGGCCTAGAAGAAGCTAAGAAGGTAGAAATTGCTGCCATGTATCTTCAGGGTGATGCAAAAATCTTGCGGCGGGTGAAGTACGAAGCCATCAAGGCCGGTGATGATGCTCTCGGGACATAGGCAGAACTAAAGGCAGTCATACATCTACGGTTCTTTGAGTACAATGCAAGGAAAAAGCTACCGGAGCTCCGCTACACCAAATTAGTGCAGGATTACGTGCGAGGATTCTCCACGCTCATACTGAACATACGTGACATGGGGGACAAAGACAAACTCTTCACATTCCTAGAAGGGTTTAAACCTTATGCCCGTATGGAGCTTCACAATGGAGTGCCTTGGGAACTATCATGTGGAAGCTCGGAAGGATAGGCCTCAATAGCCTATCCGAGGAGGATACAAACGGGGCTAGCCTAGCATTGGTGGCCCTAGCAGAAGTGGGGGAGATCGGAGTGCAACCAAATATAAGGCTCCCTCCCCAGGCAGTACTAGAACTGCATCTAACAACAACGATCGGGGGAGGAAACCCCCTTCAGGATGCCATCATTATGGCGAACCACATTGGAATAATGAATACCCACATACACAGATGAACGCCCATCAAACTTTTGATAATGGTAAGGATCACGACGCAGATGATGTGGACCAGACCGAACCAGTAGGTACCTTCAATGCCGTTGTTGGCTCTATTTCTGAGGCCTTAGCGGGAATTAGTGTTGGTGGATGCAAGAAGAAGGACCCTGCCTAATCACCAAGAAAGGGAAAAAGAAGGCGGATGAGAGGACTCCTCTTAAACAAGAAAGGACCATAATGTTTGTCGAGATAAAGGTAAATGGCAAGCCCATACAGGAGATAATAGATACGGGTGCTACCCACAACTACTTAGCCTCGACTCAGGTGGAGCGCCTTGGTCTAGTTGTAAGAAAGGGCAGAAGTCGTGTCAAGGCTATCAAATCACCTCCTCAGGCAGTGGGTGGAATAGCGAATGAAGTATCAGTGAAGCTTGGTCCTTATGAAGGAAAATTCAACCTGCGTGTGGTGAGCATAAATGACTTCGAGTTGATAGTTGGGTTGGAATTCCTAAGGCAAACCTATATTTTGCCCATACCGTATGCAGACATGCTAATAATGATGGGAACAAACGGGGCCAAGCCTTGCATTATCCCGTGCATGACCATAAAGATAGCCGCTGAGAACATCTCGGCCTTGCAGTTGAAGAAGGGGGTCAAAAGACATGAACCTACGTTCCTGGATACCCTCTGCATTGAAGATATAGAACGTTCCTCGGGTCCTATTCCTACACCCATGAAGGAGCTGCTATTGGAGTTTGAAGACGTCACGCCAAAGCGACTCCCGCCTAGGCGTATTGTGGACCATGAGATTGAGTTTGTGCTAGGTGCAAAGCCACCCGCCTGGGTGCTTTACAGAATGTCACAAACCAAACTCACTGAGTTTCGAAGACAGTTGACGGTAATGCTAGACATAGGGATCATCGTGCTCTCCATGTCCCCAAACGTGTCCCCTGTGATATTCTAAAAGAAACATGATGGCAACATACGACTCTGTGTGGATTATCGGGCTCTAAACAAAATCACCGTGAAGAACACAAGTACTCTATTCCACTAATGGTTGAGTTGTTCGATAGACTGGGTTGTGCGACGGTGTTCACAAAAATAGACCCGAAGACAAGTTATTGGCAAGTTTGGATTGCAGAGGGTGATGAACACAAGACAACATGTGTGATAAGATATGGGTCATATGACTTCCTAGTTATGCCATTCGGCTTGACTAACGCTCCAGCCACATTTTGCACCATGATGAACCAAGTCTTCCGAGAGTACATTAACGAATTCGTGGTGGTCTACTAGGCTGACATTGTGGTATATAACCAAACTCTGGAAGAACACCTATAGCACTTACGGAAGGTCCTCCTCCCATTATGGGAGCACAAATTATATGTGAAGCTATCCAAGTGCTCCTTTGCTCAAAAACAGATTGACATCCTTGGACATATCATCGAGGAAGGATGGATCAAGATGGACCAACAGAAGATTCCGGCTATCATAGATTGGCCGCTACCTAAGGATATCCATGCCTTGAGAGCGTTCCTTGGCATATGCAACTTCTATCGGCGATTTGTAAAAACTTACTCCCTCATAACAGTGCCATTAACAGAACTTTTCAAGAAGGTCACACCCTGGGATTGGGGACCAAGGCGAGCCGAGGCCTTCAACGCATTGAAAGCGGCTATGTCTAGTAGCCTCGTCTTGGCCCTCCCTGATTTGGCCAAGCCATTCGAGGTAGAAACAGATGCATCCGACTATGCTCTTGGTGGAGTCTTGCTACAAGAAGGGCATCCTGTAGCGTACGAAATCTAGAAGCTGAAGGATGCAGAGCGGCGCTATGCTTCCTACAAGAAATAATTATTTGCTATCGTTCATTCATTATGCCTTTGGAGGCCCTATCTGCTGGGAACCCCGTTCGTGGTCAAGACAGACAACAAAGTTGTCGGACATTTCATGACCCAGCCGAAGCGTAATGGTTGACAGGCCAGGTGGCAGGAACTCCTAGTGGAATTTCACTTCAACCTGGAGTACCGAAGTGGGAAGACTAATCATGTTGATGATGTGATGTTTGGCTTGAAGTATATATATTTTAGTGTATATCGCCTCATATTTTATTCTTGTTTCGTGAATTTGAGATGTTAAATGCTATGAATTATATTAATTTGAAGTGTTTTTATTTGTAGGAATGATTCGGGAGCAAGTGGGAGCAAAAGGTGCAAGATTTGAAGCTAAAACGGACAAGATCAGAAAATTGGCCAGTTTGGGCGCCACAGGCAACGCCTGGCGCCACCTGTGCCGCAGAAAACAGTATGAAAATTTTGTGGGCGCTATGGAGGGTGCCTGGCCACGGGCTGGGCGCCGGTTACGTGAAAATTCGTCCTAGTTTGCCCGGGACTCGATTTAGTCGGCTAAACCTATCCAAGACGTATAAAAGCCATCCTAAAACCTATTTTGAGAGGAGAGACGGATTTTTGAGCAAAAATACACGCTAGAAACGTTGAGGAGCAAGAACAACTAGGAATTCTTCATCCTTTTCCAGTATTTTCAATTGATTCAAAACTTATGCAATTATTTGATTACATCATGAGTGGCTAAACACCCATTGTTCTGGGGTTGTGATTAAGCCATGAATATTGTTGTTTGATATTGACTTAACCTTGATTATAATTCACCAACATATGGTTGTTTCTTCAATTCTGTGTTTAATTGCTTAATTGTCTGGCCAGCAGTTAGGTTCTATTTACTATCTATGCTATGCTTGGGAAAGTCGTGTTTAGATTAGAGAAGAATTGAAGAGAGCATGATCTTAACCCTTAGGGGGAGCGGATTTGTGGTTAGGATAGGAATATACCTAGTCACCGTGCTTAATTAAATATCGTGATCTTAATGCGTTCTTAATAGATTAATTTCATAGGAATATAGGCGTTAATCTATTGAGAATAGGTGAGTAGTACTTCGGGAGAAGGCTATGAGAGCATTTATCGATTAATTAGCAACCATGAGTGAATTATATGAAAGGGAGAGTTAATTAGAACACAATACGATTGGTGAATCGATCACAACCCTGGAATACTTGTCTCTACTGAATACACAACAATCAACTTGTTACTTGATAAATTAGTTATTATTTAGAATCATAGAATAATATAATCATATTATTGGACTTTGATTTTAGCTGGATTGAATAACAATTTTAGTGAATTAGTGAGTAGTTTACACAAGTCTTTGCGGGTTCGACACTCAACTTATCATTATATTACTTGTCGACCACGTATACTTGCGTGTGCGTTTGGGCGTAACAAGTTTTTGGCGTCGTTGCCGGGGACTTGAATATTAACTACTTGCTAGTTTTTGCTTTAATTGTTTATTTTGTCTAGTCTAATGTTACCTGATTGTTGCTCAGATCTCAGGAACTTTGATTGAATGCGTAGGGTCAGAAGCCAGGACCAACTTCAAGGCTTTGATCCTGAACCTGAGAGAACATTTTACAGGAGGCTAAGGGAAGCAAGGGACACGAATAATATTCAGCCACTTGTTCAATTTCCTGTGGACATGGCGGAGGAGCAACCCATGGCTGTTCAGGAGGTGGCGATGCCCAGCATTGCTAATGTCACCTCCAGTATAGTGAAGCCCAGGATCACTGGGCACTTTGAGCTGAAACAGAGCATGATCCAGTTACTTCATGCAAACGGGCAATTTATGGGTCTTCTACACGAGGATCCACAGCAGCATATTCTGAACTTCTTGGAGATTAGTGATACTTATATCACTAACGGGGTCACTCCAAACTATGTGAGGCTCACACTTTTTCCATTCTCTCTATTGGGCGAGGCTAAGCGATGGCTAAAGGCAGAACCAGCAAATTCCATTACATCATGGAATGATTTGGCAAGAAAATTTCTGGCAAGGTTCTTTCCTTCAGGCAAAACTGCAAAGATCAGAAGTGAGATAGTGGCCTTCAAACAGAAAGCGGGAGAATCTTTATACTCGGCTTGGGAAAGGTTCAAGGGGCTACTCAGAGACTGTCCTCATCACAATCAGACGAATGAAGTGTTAGCTCACACTCTCATAGAAGGGCTACATTCTGAAACAAAGATCGTGGTAGATGCTGCAGCTGGGGGTCAAGTGTTGGAGAAAAGCTTTGATGAGATATATGCATTATTGAAGAAATTCTCCAAGAGCAATCCGGATTGGCAAGGAGAGATGGGCAGACACACAGTGCAAAAGTCTGCAGGGGTACTTGAGTTAGATGTCGTCTCAGCATTATCAGTGCAGATTGCTACACTGACCAATCAAGTCACCCATATGAACTTGAGTATTAACAAGCAACAAGTACAACTGGTACAACAGGTTCAAGCTTTTTGTGAAATATGTGGAGAGGGGAACACGAGCGACATATGCCCTGCAAACCCAGAGTCTGTCTGCATTGTGGGTAATTCAAATAGGGGCCAAACAAATCAATATGGGAACACTTACAATCCCAACTGGAGAAACCACCCAAACTTCTCTTGGGGTGGAAACCAGGGCACTCAGAATCAATACAGGCCTCAAGCACCTCAACAGCAGTATAGACCACCTCAGGTTGAACAACAACCAAGTCCTACAAGTCACCTTGAAGACATGCTTAAAAAAATGATGGTTGAACAGCAAGCCCTCGCCACAACAGTGAGAAATTTGGAGCGTCAAATGGGACAGCTTGCTAGTGATTAAAACACTAGACCAGCTAGAGCTCTTCCAAGTGACACTGAAGCAAATCCTAGGGCGGCCCTTAATGTCGTGTCGTTGAGGAATGGGAGACAACTAGAGGAAGTTCTGTCTAAAAAGAAGAAACATGTGACTTTTAATGAGAAGCCAACCACTATTGAATCAACATCAGAGAAAGTTAAGGTTCAAGAGAAGCCAGTTGGAAAGGCGGTGGCTGAGCAACCCCCACAATTGGTTGCAAGGCCACCACCTCCATTCCCTCAAAGACTGCAGAAATTAAGAGATAATGCCGCATATAAAAAGTTAATGATATCTTGAAGCAGGTACAAATTAATATTCCATTGATTGACATCTTACAAGAAGTACCCAAATATGCAAAGTACATCAAGGACATTGTGGCAAATAAAAGGAGGCTGACCGAGTTCGAGACTGTGGCACTCATTGAGGAGTGCAGTTCCAGAATTCAAGGCAAGTTACCCCAGAAATTAAAGGATCCAGGTAGTTTCACTATCCAAATCTCGATTAGTAAACATGTTGTTGGGCGAGCTTTATGTGACCTTGGAGCAAGCATCAATTTGATGCCGCTATCTATATTCAGACAGTTGGGGTTGGGTGAACCACACCCAACAACAATTATCTTATAGTTAGCTGATCGCTCCCTTGCTCATCCTGAGGGAGTGATTGAAGATGTGCTAGTTCAAGTGGGGTCTTTCATATTCCCAGCTGATTTCATCATCCTGGATTACGAACCTGATCAGGAAGTCCCATTTATCTTGGGGCGTCCATTCTTAGCCACAGGCCGAGCTATTATTGATGTCTACGAAGGAAAGATGACAATGAGAGTGGGTGATCGAGTGGAGGTATTAAATGTCTATAGAGCACTCAAGTTACCAGCCCATTACGAAGTGTTATCCATGATCTCTGTGGTGGAAAGTGAGGCCACATCGGTAGTACCCTATATGAGCCCTGAAGATCCTGTTGAACGAGTATTTATTGGGGACGCAGAAAATAGTGAAGATGAAAGGATAGGAGAAATTGAGCAAGTGTTGGATATGTCCTGCAGTTATGTACATGGGGTTAGAAAATTTGAAAAGTTGGACTGGCCTGTCACTCTGACCCCCCTAGGCCATCTATTGAAGAAGCTCCGAAGCTAGAACTCAAGCCACTTCTAGCGCATCTGCGCTATGCTTATCTGGGGAACTCAGAGACACAGCCCGTGATTATTTCGTCCAGCTTGACCAGCACTCAAGAAGCAAAATTGCTCAGAGTTCTCCGCGAGCATAAAAAGGCCATTGGGTGGACTATAGCTGACATCAAGGGTATTAGTCCATCGTTTTGCATGCATAAAATCTTTTTAGAGGACGGACACCGCCCCAGTGTAGAGCAGCAAAGCAGATTAAATCCCATTATGAAAGAGGTGGTGAAAAAGAAAGTAATCAAGTTGCTCGATGCAGGTATCATTTTTCCTATTTCTGATAGCAACTGGGTAATCCCGGTTCAATGTGTGCCCAAAAAGGGAGGAATGACTGTAGTTGAGAACGAGAAGAACAAGCTAATCCCCACTCGCACTATTACGGGATGGAGAGTCTGCATTGATTATAGAAGGCTAAATAAAGCAACTCGCAAGGATCACTTCCCACTCCCATTCATCGACCAAATGCTAGACAGGTTAGCCGGGCATGAATATTACTGCTTCCTTGATGGTTATTCAGGATACAATCAGATTGTGATATGCCAGAGGATCAGGAGAAGACTACTTTTACTTGTCCTTATGGCACTTTTGCCTTCAAGCAAATGCCGTTTGGTCTTTGTAATGCACCAGCCACTTTCTAGAGGTGTATGATGGCTATTTTTACCGACATGGTGGAAAAATTCGTGGAAGTGTTTATGGATGATTTTTCAGTTTTTGGGTCTTCTTATGATGATTGCTTGAGGAATTTAAGCAAGGTGCTAGCCCGTTGTGAAGAGATAAATCTGGTACTAAATTGGGAAAAATGTCATTTTATGGTACAAGATGGCATCGTGTTGGGACATAGAGTATCTAGGAGCGGCATTGAAGTTGATAAAGCGAAGGTGGAGGCGGTTGCAAAATTACCTCCACCTATCTC